ACAAATAATGAGGTTTGTTCCCATTTCCAGTCATAATATTATTCATGTTGTTAACAATATCACCAATTCCTGCTCCCGGATAGCAAACTCTTAATCTGTCCCACCCTATCTCTGGCACAAAAAGCTCTATCCAAATACCTGGGAATCTACTACAACCAAAGTTTTCTTAGCTGCTTCCTTTACTTTGTGAGTACCATGAGGGACCTGCGCTCTCACTGTTGTCTTGCCTTTCGAGCGAACTGCAGGCTTCCTACAGCACTCATCTTCCAGTCTCCGTGGTGTAGTTGTAAGACACTCGCCTGGCGTTCCGCGAGCGCTATGTCATGGGTTCGTATCCTGGCCGGGGAGGATTTACTGGGCGCAATTCCTTAACTGTAGCCTCTGTTTAACGCAACAGTAAAATGTGTACTTGGATGAAAAAACGATTCTTCGCGGCGGGGATCGTATTCCAGGGACCTGCCCGAAACGCTACGCGTACTAGTGGCTGTACAAGAATGTAACAACTCTTGTATATATATATCTCAAAAATCTTCCAGCATGGCGAATGTGTTGGAAGTTTTTAGGACGTTCGTAGGCGGCCTTGCCAGAGCCTTCTTAAGACCTCTGTCCTTTGCGACACTCCAAGGCGAACCCTTTCTAATACTGGTCTCCTCCTTTGTTTCCTCTTGAGGTTGTTTCTGCTGTCGAAGCTCCTCCCGTAGAGAATCCAACTCTGTCCTTAGAGCTCCACATAGATTCATCAGTTCCTTCACTACACCTTCCATTATTACTATGGTAGCACAATCGGAGCTCCCGGTAACCCACCATTTGGTCACCATTTGGTCCGGGAGACATCTCCCGTCAGTCACGCAGGGTGCAGTCGCACCTCCACAGATCTCCACAGATGACTCAAAAGGGCCACCACTTACGGGCTATTCATGCCCGTGCCACCTCTTGGGTGGCTTAATCTTCATCAATCAATCAATCCCGGTAACACACTCTCACGGTGAATCTCTGCGCCTGTTTGTACGAATCGACGAGGTAGGTAACCAAGGGAAAAGGCGACAAGAGCCCCTGCTATGCCATCTACGTTGCCATCGCGAAAGGCAAAAGACAGTTCAACGGCAAAGCCAAGATCAAGAAACAGCTGTAAATTCAACCGGATAATCCGCACCAGGAACCGCGCTAAGTACCCGTAGCCCATGTTTGTCCACGCCGTCTCCATGCAAGACCACACCGACCTTTCCACGCTGAAGAGGTGGAAAGACCCTACGACCCTACCTTCTACAAAAGACACCCGGAGGGGGGCAATCCGCACTGACGACCCTGAATGCACAGAATTACCAGAAATACGGTGCGCAATAGTCAAGCACCGCCTCGAACAGTAGGCTGCAAACATCGGGGCCGACCCTTATCTGGGACCAATAATGCGAGCAGCCACGAACCAATCCATTCACCAATCTACAGCTGCAGCTCCTATCAAAGGTGATTGGACCACCGAGCTCTATGTCTCCGACTGGTTCCTGATCCATGTCCTAGTCTTCCATCCCCTGCGTAGCTGCCTTAAGGTCCTTGGAATTGGAATGGAATTATCAGCCTTGACAAAAAGATTTACTGTACACAGTGGAAATAGAGAAATAACTTTGAATTATACAAGTGGGTTACAGCTGTTAGTCAAAATTTTGTATTTAAGTGCAGTGCATTACTGAGACGCGAATTATCAGTAGGCCTAGTGGTTATGTGAAGTGAAGGCTTGAAAATAAGTGTAAATACTATATAGTTTTATAAAGGGAATGATAGAATCCTTGTATAGTATACACTGTCAACAGTATTGTACTACATTATACTGAACGATACAATATAAGCGACGCAGAGTATAAACTAAACTTGGATGACGTAATCTTCACAGCTTCGTGAAAGGATCTTCACAGCTTCATGAAAGGATCTTCACAGCTTCGTGAAAGGATCTTCACAGGTTCGTGAAAGGATCTTCACAGGTTCGTGAAAGGATCTTCACAGCTTCGTGAAAGGTAAGTCACTTTGTCAATTTTATTACAGTATTACTACATATTAATTATTTTGTTCAACAATAGCCATACATTAGTAATGCATGATAGAGCTGATAAGTTATACAAGTATCTCTGGGAATTCTCATTATCTGCTGATGTAGACCTGACCAAATGTAAACTGTGTCAACAAAATTATTCGCACACCCTCCGTCACTATGTGATGGAGTGCGAAAAGATACGTGAATTTAGAGACAATTCTATAACCAATGTTCCAGCGATGTGTCAATATTTCATTCAAAATGATCTGCTACCAGAAATTTTAGCCAAATATCCCCAGTTTGCTAACTGTAGGTAGTAACTGAGTGATTGTAACCTATCCACCGCTGCCCACTGGATGGGGGGCGGTGTGCAGGACAAACATATAAATTGTGACACTAGCTCTCCACATATGTCAGTTGCTTAATTTAGAACCTGTACTTGAGGTCGATCTCGAACCCATTGTTGATGTGACGACTTATATTGAATTTTGTAACTAGCTCATCAAGATTGTAACTTGCTTAGCTAAATGAATTGTGGGGTTCAGTCCCTGAGCCCATTATGTGCCTCTGTAACCCTTTCCACTACCGCCCACAAGATGGGTATGGGGTGCATAATAAATGAACTAAACTAACTAATTCTCACATTGAGAAAACACTAACAATCATTGATTGATACACTTGAAATATTTCGCAATACAAAGGAATTAGCCGACTTTTCCTCCCATTTGGAATTGATCAGTTTTGTTCTTATTAATAAGTTTAGGTATACATAGCAATGTGCTGCTGCCCTATTCTGTGTGAAAGATTACACAGTGGAGATCAACAACTAGCTATAAGTTCATCTAATACTCCCATCTCACTGGATGGTTTGTCATACAGATCTACACCAACGTTCACATATCAACTAGGTGACTGCACAGCTAGGCGCAGCTAGATGCAGTTCCTCACCTAGGAACTAGGGGCCAAATTCACGAAGAAGTTACGGAAGCACTTACTAACCTGTACCTCTTTTCTCAATCTTTGGCAGCTTTGTTTACAATTATTAAACAATTAATGAGCTCCGAAGCACCAGGAGGCTGTTTATAACAATAACAACAGTTGATTGGCAAGTTTTCATGCTTGTAAACCGTTTAATAAATGTAACCGAAGCCGTCAAAGATTGAGAAAAGATGTATACGCTCGTAAGTGCTTGCGTAGCTGCTACGTGAATCTGGCCCCAGGCGAGCACATCAGCTGTGAAGTCTCCCAGGGGTACGAACGCTTCCCACGCCAGACGATTCGACAAAGCTCGTTTTCTGTTGGTTCAAAACGTATATATTGTGACCCTACGCTGTATTAGCGTAAGTTAGGATGTATTGGGCTCATTTGGGTTGGTTAGATTGATTTGGGTTAGGTTGGGTTGAGCTAGGGTAGGTTAAGTACGTTAAAAAAAGATCCGCTGGCGAATCGTCTTGTGTACGATGTGACTTATACCCTTAACATTTCTGCCTAGTGGCTTTACAAGAATGTAATTACTATGCTATGTATCCTCACAATCCCAATGTACCTTCTTGTATATATATAAATAAATAAATAAATAAATAAATAAAACTTGTATCCAGTAGCCGACCGGTGGCTTAATTCATTGTTGGCGCCTCACTAAATTGGAACGCAATTACATACTGGAATTATACAGTAACTTTGTACACTCTATACAACTTTTTAGGTGTTTTAGCAAGTGAAAAGGCTAGAAGGAAATGTAATTTTTTGTTTAATAGTTGTATATTATTTGGTTTTAAACTTTAAATGATAAAAATTTTATATTAAAGATATCTTCAACTGCATATTTCAGTTATATTTAATGTAAGGACCGAGAACTGAGTCGACCATAATTACTTTTTTTTCCTAAAGTCCCCGACCCCGTGGCGTTGTGGTAACACACTCGCCTGGCGTTTCGCGAGCGCCTTGAGCAGGGTTCGTATCCTGGCCGGGGAGGATTGACTAGGCGCCAGCCTTTACCAGTAGCCTCTGTTCACCCAGCAGTGAATGGGGAACCTGGCTGTTACACGATTTGGCGGGTTGAATTCCGGGAATAATTAGAATTAAGGACCTGTCCGAAACGCTATGAGTGCTAGTGGCCCCATATATATATATATATATATATATATATATATATATATATATATATATATATATATATATATATATATATATATATATATATATATATATAGATATATATATATATTTTTTTTTTTTAAGATTTTTTTTGTACCACCTCTAGCTGGAAGAAGGGGGACCCATAGCCTCGGAGGAAACCACGCATAACGCATTAGAGGGAATGTTTAGATCCCCTCCAATACAGTTTCTGTGTGCTTTTCTCCTACCACCCCCTTCCTTTTTTATTTTTTGTGCTTTATTATGCATTTGATGGTTACAAGATATACATGGGTTGATATATATATATATATATATATATATATATATATATATATATATATATATATATATATATATATATATATATATATATATATATATATATATATATATATGGACTATATGTTCATTGTGGTGCACAGGTAGCACAGGTACCTGAAGTGTGTGGTACTGTATGTGTGGTACCTGATGTACTCACCTAGTTGTACTCACCTAGCTGTGCTTGCGGGGGGGTTGAGCTCTAGCTTTTTGGTCCCGCCTCTCAACTGTCAATCAACTGGTGTACAGATTCCTGAGCCTATTGGGCTCTATCATATCTACACTTGAAACTGTGTATGGAGTCAGCCTCCACCACATCACTGCCTAATGCATTCCACCAGTTAACTACTCTGACACTGAAAAAGTTCCTTCTAACGTCTCTGTGGCTCATGTGGGTACTCAGTTTCCACCTGTGTCCCCTTGTTCGCGTTCTGACCACGCCTTACAGTTTGTTCTTGTCCACCCCTGTCAATTCCCCTGATAATTGCTTATAGACGATAGCGAAAATCTTACCAACCTCTAAACTTGGAGAGGCCCGGGTCGACTTGAGCAGCCAGCCCCAGCAGCTCCTGGGTCAGGGCCACCACCCGCAAGAGGTCATCCACACTCACACCTGTAGGTCAAGGAACATTACCTTTGTGGCTAACGTGGATCTTAACTGATCTTTCCTGAGCCCAAAACCTAGCTTAGATGATTGCTCAGAAGCGGGCACTCTCTGTCTGTTCTGTCTATCTGTTTCTCTGTCTCTGTCTCTGTCTGTCTGTCTGCCTCTCTCTCTCTCTCTCTCTCTCTCTCTCTCTCTCTCTCTCTCTCTCTCTCTCTCTCTCTCTCTCTCTCTCTCTCTCTCTCTCTCTCTCTCTCTCTCTCTCGCCAGTTAATAAGGTTCACATTTAAAATCCATAAGATCTACCGTAGAGAGCGTATCTACCTCTGACCCATTTCTGACCCAAATAATTGCACCTATCTTTCTTCCACACACAGGTACCATTTTTCAGCATTGAGTAATGTGTTTCCTAAATTATCGTACCGAAAACACACAAATTCTCAAATTTGGGAATAAAATACTCCCGGGGGAGTGGGGGGAGGGAGGGAGATTTTTCCCTTAGGAGGAAAAGGACTTGTCAGGGAAAACCCACTTCTTTGGGTGGGGAAAATTTACCTGATAGTTTGGGTGTCATGAGAGCCAGTACCAGGGCGAACTTCAGCTCAATGGTGATGTAGTGCTGGCCTCCCAGTACCCTTGTTAAGTGCGTCACTGTAGCGTCTAGGGCAGTTGCGTCTTCCTGCGGCACGCGGCTTGCTGCGATTCCGGCAGCTTGAAGTAAGGAATTTAGGGCGGGCGAATCCACGGCGGCTCCGCAAGCATTGCAGACCCAAGCCACTTGGGGGTCAGGAGCGGGCACCAGTAGGCCGCCCTCGCACTTCCGACACGACACGGAACTCAAGTGTGAGCCCAGTTCCGTGGGGTCGACGCATCGCTCACAGGTGCAGGTGAAGAATTTGGAGGACTGGATGTACGCCGCTCTGGCGTGAGTGCCCCAGAGCGTAGGGGCGTAGGTGTTGGTGATGGGGGCGCCCTCTGGGATGGCCGCCACAGAACGGACGATTAACACACCGTCTTTGTACCAGTGCTGTGTGTTGGGCAGGCAGGAGTGGTTCATCAGCGCCCCCAGCGGGAAGAGTGCGCGACCTCCTCTACCTCTGGCGAGGCTGATTACGAAGCAGTTGGTGTCAAAAATCCCACACAATTGCTGCATCACTTCCGAGTTGACAGGCAGCCCCATGTCTCGCTGCATTGGCCGTATCACCTGTTCCTCTACCAAACGACCAACAGGAAGTTTCCTTCGATTTTCTACATTACTTTGTAGAGCTGCGATAACCGCTCCCACGCCTGGTAACTCCTGTAGTAGCAGCAGCGTTCGTAGTGGAGACAGAAGGACATTTAGCTGCTTGCTCATGAACCTGCTGTTTGGGTCTTGTTGCAGTCCTAAACGTTTCACTATATTGCATTCTTTATTTGTATGGTATATGCCGTCACAAGGGGGCGTGCAGCGCGGGGCGCCGCACCCTCCACACCCTCTCCACGCCTCCTTCAGTATGCACAAGCAGGCCAGGCAGGTGGGCCCAGCTTCAAGATTCGGAGAAACCACTAGCGGTGCCTCCCTGAACACCACCTCCCCGGCACGGATGTCCTGCGAAGCTACCAGGAATCTTCCTTCCGTAGAAGTCCTCTCGATCCTCACCGCCGCCTTGAAAGGACCTCTGGCCAGGGAATCTACATCATTGTCTGAGCGTTCGACCGCAGGGCGCTTGGAGGTGTATTCTCGCTGTAAGCGGTCAGTAAAAGTGCTGGATGGTTGGCTCTTGTTCTGTAACTGGTGCCAGGACGGATTGCTGGGTGCCAGAGACGACAGGTAGGACTGGAGAGCCTCCACATTCGCATCCATTTCTGTGCCGACAAAAGTTTTAATATTAATAATTTTCCCATTTAAATTAGAAGTTATAATGTAGTTAAACAGATAAACGATTTTTGTTTGTAAATTTACCCAAAGTTAAGACAAATATACTCATGTATGCATGTACGTAGACACTGTGGACCCGACCTCCTAACACCGTGTCGCATTTTGACCTTTACCTAAGGCCAAAAACGGATATATATATATATATATGACCGAAAGGGTAAGATTAATGGTTCTAACCCGAATCTTCTCAACATTTCTTACGTTTTTCTACACTGTCGAGGGTAATTGAAAAATTAACTTTCCAAAGTTCATTTTCACAATTTATTTATGGTCTGACACTTAGAAGCGTTTCGCAAAAGACTTCTTACATTTTCAAAGAAAAATTTTACATACTCCGTTTTCATGCTTATATTCGTTTTTGGGTGAGGTGACGGGACACGAATGTTTTTGGGTGAGGTGACGGGACACGAATGTTTTTGGGTGAGGTGATGGAACACAAATCAATGGGTACACTGCGCATTTTCTCCTCTTGCTTCTGTGTTGGTTCGGGGTCTTGAAGTGGGTAGAATGTAATGATGTATTAATTGGCTGTTGATTGTTGGTGTTTACGTTTTAATGTGATGTGCCTCGCTGATGTCAAGTCTCCTGTTATCGTTGTATCTGTCGATAATTTCTGCGTTGCTTGTTAAGATTTCTCTCGTGATGGTCTGATTGTGAGAGGAGATTATATGTCCCTTGATGGAGCCCTGTTGCTTGAGCATTGTTAATCGCCTAGAAAGAGACGTTGTTGTCTTGCCTACATACCGAGATCTTTGGGGCTGACAGTCCCCAAGTGGGCATGTAAAGGCGTAGACGACGTTGGTTTCTTTCAAGACGTTCTGTTTGGTGTCTGGAGAGTTCTTCATGAGTAGGTTGGCCGTTTTCTTGCTTTTGTAGTAAATTGTCAATTGTATCTTCAGATTTGCGTCTGTGGGGATAACGTTCCTATATCTTTCAGGACACTTTCCTCCATTTTATGAACCGTCGAAAAGAAGTTCCTGTAAAACAGTCTAATAGAGGGTACAGGTGTTGTGTTAGTTGACTCTTCAGAGGTTGCATGGCGTTTCACCTTTCTTTTAATAACGTCTTCAACATAACCGTTAGAGAAGCCATTGTTGACTAGGACCTACCTTACCCTGCAGAGTTCTTTATCGACTTGCTTCCAACCAGAGCTGTGAGTGAGAGCACGGTCGACGTAAGCGTTGACAACACTCCTCTTGTACCTGTCTGGGCAGCCACTGTTGGCATTGAGGCACATTCCTATGTTCGTTTTCTTAGTGTAGACTGCAGTGTCCCGCCCCTCCCTGTCCTCACATGCCCCCCACAGCTCTGTCCTCGAGGGCAGGAACGCCACAGGTTGCTGCTAGACAGATGGGCTGCCATGTGTGTGTGTCTGCGGTCCTCTGATGCTGAGGACGCGCCAAAACCTTCACTATTGTCCACTGTGACGTGGGAAAAATGTACATGACAGGAGGAGGGGGGGGGGCTAGGGGGGGACTATACCCGCCAAACACACACCGGAACTACGACGTTGGTACAACGTTCGAACAAGTTTTAACACTTCCTAACCAGTTATAACAACCAATATAGCAAGTTGTAACAACATTCTAATACGTCATAAACAGGTTAAGCCAAGGTGTAATAACTTTATTACAAGTTGTAATAAGCGGAAAATAGAGACAGTTACGGTTTGTGTTTCCAGGCTATCAGGGTGGGGGGGGGGGAAGCACCAAGCCATTACGACTGTACCTGAAAGGGATCAGGGTTAGGATTTGGGATGGGACGGAGGGAAGATATGGTACCCAACCACTTGTGGACGGTCGGGGATTGAACGTCGACCTGCATGAACCGAGACCGTCGCTCTACCGTCCAGCCCAAGTGACTGGTGGAGAATTAGGGCGTTTCGGGGCACTCAAACCCCTGAGTCACACCGCTGACAAGAATATCACTCCCTCGCATGACTGAAAGGTGTCATGCAGACTTCAAGAGCGAATCATTAATGGAATTTCCTTGTCTACAAGTTTGTTTACATTCCCCTAATCTGAGGGGAATCCCCTCTAATCCCCTAAATCTCCCCTCTAATCCCCTAAATCTTGCCTCACAGGTTTAATAGAATTCTGTGAACAGGCAATACAAATTAAACACGGAAGAGAAAGGTAGAGACAGACTGCATATTTTGGAAGTGTCAGAAAGCCTTTGACACAGTATCCCAAAGGAGACGTGTCAGGCCAACACTCTCCAACTGCTCTCTTCTACATTTGATGAGTTTGATGAGGGGGAGCTTCTACAGTCTCTTAACACGGGGGGAACATTTATGGACTGGTGCCTGTGGAAGGGGGCGTGTATGGCCCAGTGGTTGGAAAAGGAGAGGTAAGTGGACCGGTTCTTGGGGCGGGGAAGATGTTTGGACCGGTACTTAGAGGGCAGAATATGGCCCAGTGGTTGAGGGAAAAGAAAGGTGTATGTGCTAGTGGTTTGGGAGGCATGGAGGGAGCTGTCGTTCCTGGTGACGGCGCAGGGGCGCGTGGTCTGGGATGGCATGCCGCCGGGGGTAATGACTGAGGCATCTGTCAGTCAGGTGATGGAGCTGTCATGGCGGCCGTGGTGACACTATCCACCTGTGGGATTCCGTTCATATCCACTGCTATATACAGCCACTAGGAGGGCCGGCCCGGCCCGGCGCCGCGCGAAGGATGCTTCAGTGTCAGTCCGAATATAGTCGCTAATAAGTGTTTTATGTAGGGACTGAACTAGTTACAGTCTCGTCACACTTGGTGTTCGAGGTGGGCTCTTCGTGATGCTGAGTTGATTCATAGTGTGCTTGCGTCACACCATGTTGTGTCAGGTTGTTTCCCAGGTGATGGATGATGCAGGATGTCACCCTTGCGTCTCAGCTTGCGTCTGTCTGTTCTCTCTCTCTCTGTCTCTCTCTCTGTCTCTCTCTCTCTCTCTCTCTCTCTCTCTCTCTCTCTCTCTCTCTCTCTCTCTCTCTCTCTCTCTCTCTCTCTCTCTCTCTCTCTCTCTCAAGTTGTCCCTCTTCTAATCATGGCTGTTCTTCTTCTCGGTGACTAATAGTAATGGCTCATTTATAAGGCATAATAATAATTCTTCATCTCGCTGAGCTGTGACATAAATATTATTGAGCATGTGCTATGTGGGCGGCAGTTATGGGCAGCGTTGGATCAGGCACTCGGGGACAGTGCCAAAGTTTACAGAAGGCACTTTAATGCAGCTTGTCATGTGCTGACTAAGCCAGTGATAGGTCAGGCGACGCGAGTATGGTGACACAAGACACACACACACACACACACACACACACACACACACACACAAGGGGAACACGCACAAGGGGACACAGGTGGAAACTGAGTGCCTAAATGAGCCACAGAGATATTAGAAAGAACTTTTTTAGTGTCAGAGTGGTGGACAAATGGAATGCATTAGGCAGTGATGTGGTGGAGGCTGACTCCATACACAGTTTTAAGTGTAGATATGATAGAGCCCAATAGGCTCAGGAATCTGTACACCTGTTGATTGACGGTTGAGAGGCGGGACCAAAGAGCCAGAGCTCAACCCCCGCAAACACAACTAGGAGAGTACAACTAGGTGAGTACACACACACACACACACACACACAGAAATCCCAGAGATAAGAGAGGGAATAGCTAACCAGGAACCACTGGAAGAGTTTGAGATTACCAGCGGGGAAGTAAGGAAGTGTTTACTAGAATTGGATGTGACAAAGGCTATAGACCCAGATGGAATCTCCCCTTGGATACTAAAGGAAGGAGCAAAAGAACTGTGCCTCCCGCTCTCCATGGTGTATAACAAATCACTGGCAACAGGGGAACTGCCAGAAATTTGGAAAGCAGCTAACGTAGTCCCGATATACAAGAAAGGGGATAGACAGGAGGCACTGAATTACAGACCAGTGTCCCTAACCTGCATACCATGCAAGATGATGGAGAAGATTGTGCGAAGAAAGCTAGTGGAGCACCTGGAGCGAAAGAACTTTGTAACACAGCATCAACATGGCTTCAGGGATGGCAGATCCTGCCTCACAGGGTTACTTGAATTCTACGACCAGGCAACAAAAATAAGGCAAGAAAGAGAAGGGTGGGCAGACTGCATATTTTTGGATTGTCAGAAGGCCTTTGACACAGTGCCACACAAGAGGCTAGTGAAAAAACTGGAGATGCAGGCTGGAGTGAAAGGGAAGGTACTCCGTTGGATACAGGAGTACCTAAGTAACAGGAGACAACGAGTCAGTGTGAGGGGTGAGGTCTCAGATTGGCGAGACGTTACGAGTGGAGTACCGCAGGGGTCAGTCCTTGGACCTATACTGTTTCTGATATATGTAAATGATCTTCCAGAGGGTATAGAATCGTTTCTCTCAATGTTTGCCGATGATGCAAAAATTATAAGGAGGATTGAAACTGAGGACGATAGTAGGAGGCTACAAGATGACCTAGACAGACTGAGTGAATGGTCCAACAAATGGCTGTTGAAGTTCAACCCGAGTAAATGCAAAGTAATGAAACTAGGTGGTGGAAATAGGAGGCCAAACACAGGATATAGAATAGGAGATGAAGTACTTAATGAAACGAACAGAGAGAAGGATCTAGGAGTTGATATCACACCAAACCTGTCTCCTGAAGCCCACATAAAAATAATAACGTCTGCGGCATATGCGAGGCTGGCTAACATCAAAACAGCGTTCAGGAACCTGTGTAAGGAATCATTCAGAATCTTGTACACCACATATGTAAGACCAATCCTGGAGTATGCGGCCTCAGCATGGAGCCCGTACCTTGTCAAGCACAAGACGAAGCTGGAAAAAGTCCAAAGGTATGCCACTAGACTAGTCCCAGAACTAAGAGGCATGAGTTATGAGGAAAGGCTGCGGGAAATGCACCTTACGACACTGGAAGACAGAAGAGTAAGGG